TGTTTCTGTTTGTTGTTTATATATTTTTAAAAGTAGTTATATATATATATATATATATATATATATACATCTATGTGTATATATATAGATAGATATATATATACATACATATATGTGTATATAAGCGTCACGCCAGCCATAGAATGCATTCTTTGATAAATCTTAGATGTCGCGCCACCGACAATTCCAATTGTTAGATTCATAATCCTACAAAGGATAATTAAATCTAGTCAATCACATCACTTTATGCATACAATCATCAATCTAAATAACAGTCAAGGAAATTGAGAAGTTCATGCAAGGGATCATCAAAATTCAACCGATAATTGGGGAACTTGAACTGGCCTGCGGTAGTGGTTCCACCCAAGCAACAAAAAATGACAACAGGTAACATCTAATGTATAAAATTTATTAAAAAGCTGACAATGATGAATAGACATTCAGTCAATAAATCACAAGAGATATGACCCAGGTCATGCATCATAAAAACCCATTTTAATAGCTTGGAAGGGGTCAAGCTCTGGTGGTAAGATTTCCTATCAATTTGCAATAAGATCTGCGGTGGGTAGCGTACGAATCACCCCAACAACAGGTCTAGATTGTTATCCCTACGAAGATTGCAATAAGATCCACTTAATATGTATGACATAATTTGCAACCCATCCAAGGCAACAACCTAATCAAGTGATCAAGATATGGGAGGTGCAAGACATGAACCAGGCAGTAATCCAACAAACCGATCAAAAACATTCTTGGAATTGCCAAACTATCAATTATCATAGTCGAGCGCTCATCGCAAAAACATTCAACATGAAAATACAAAAGAAAATAAAAAAGGGGCGGCCAACTAGAAATTCTTTCTTTTATTCATCATAAAAAAAATTACAAAATTTCTCTAACAACTTTGTTTAAGTGTTCCAAAAAGAGAAAAGAAAATTTGTAAGTATAGAAAAAGGCCAAGTGCACGTCACGTATTTGATGACCCGCCATCATTCTCATTACTCTCTTCCTCACTCTCCTTGGAATCCGACATCAAGGTGGAAAATTTCTCCATATTATCCATTCCGAGGAGACCGATTGGTATTTCACCGTACGACTAACTTGGAAGGCAATCCTGTCCTTCAACTTTCGAGGAAGAGGAGCCACCTTACTCAGGTGGGAGGAGAGCTCGACAAAAAAACTTTCATAAGTCTTCATTGTTGCAATTTGATTCTTCTTGGCTTGGTTCTCCTCTTGAGTAATCGAAAGCAACTCTGACTATTTGAATACTTTCACCTAAGCCGTCTTTGCCCTTTCCTTAGCCTCCACCAACTTTTGCTCGATCTCTAAACACTCATGACATTCAATAAAGCATAATTGACTGAATGTGAGAATCTTCTCGGGCCATCAAACGATATTTGTCAGTTGTTCAACATAAGGCAAACAAGCATTGTTTCAAGAGCGCCTCATCGAAGATAGGAGGCCAGATGATGTCGGCTATAGTTGGAGGGTAGCAAGATGCTGTGAGGGAATCAAAATGCCGATCTTTCTAGAGATCGATCAATGTAAATCGACCGTCCAAGCTCGTGCTAACCTTCAGCTCAGTGGCTTGCATCTATCCACGTAAATGAGGATCCACTGTGTTTCTTTCAAGATGGGGCAAGAGGCAAATCGCTCTAATAGTAGTAAGTACTGTCTCCTCTTGATACATCTATGTGAAAAGATGTTGCTCCTCATCAATGAAATTCATCTTTATCTAGTTGTAAGAAAAATCCATGAGGTTTAGCATTTGATGTCCAGAAATAGTGTCAACCAATTGATCTTTTTAGAGTAGAGGAAAACAGTCTCTTAGATAAGCTTTGTTCAAATTAGTATAGTGGATGCACATCCTCCATGCTCCAGAAGTCTTCTTTGTCATAACAATGTATACAAGCCTCATGGGATGATGTACCTCCCATATAAAATTTGCTTGGAGAAGCTTATCAACCTCTTGCTCAATTGCTTTATGACATTTTGGCATGCACTTTTGCATCTTTTTTATGATTGGCTTATGTGCGATGTTAAACTTTAGAGAATGCATAATTACTTCAGTATTAATCTCGGGTATATTTGTCAAACTCTAGGCAAACATATATTGCTTTCTATGAAGAAAATATACTTCAACTTTTGCTCATTGGATAACAAAAAATCAATTTGCATAGTCTATGAGGGGTGTTCCTCTGACAAGGAAACATAGATCAAATCATTAAGTATCTTTGTCTCAGAGATCAAAGCTCTCAATACTGAGAATCTTTGATTGGCATGATTGATTTTGTACCAGATAACACAATCATGCTACCTTCTAACGCCCCATAAAATGCCAACTCTATATGGTGTTGGGAACTTCATGTTAAGGTATGATATAATGAATACAACACCAAACATTAATTGGAGAGCTCTATCAAAGATAACGTTGTACGTCGATTCTAACATAAATACAACTCGCAAGAAGAATTTAACATGATCAAAGCAGATAATAGTTACAACATTATTAGCGGATGATTAAAGCTAGCAAAGAAGACTCCTGAGATCATCGAGCTGAGAAATGACTTCTATCCCTCATAAGGAACTCCTCATAGACTAAATGTTGTAACTATTATCTGTTTTGATCGTGTTAAATTCTTCTTGCATGTTGTAACTATTATCGACGTACAAGAGACAAATGGGCCTAATTCTATTACCCGCTTCATTTGTTTGCTAAATTCTCAGTTTTTAACATTTACTTTGTGAGGAGTTCCTTATGAGGGATAGAAGTCATTTCTCAGCTCGATAATTTTTACAACATTTAGTGAGGAGTTCCTTATGAGGGAGCTCTATCCTCAGAATAAAGAATTTAGGATGATCAAATTATGTGTGGTTGAGCTAAAATCTTTTAACATGTTGGGGGCTTGCTGCTAGACTTGACTGCATGAGATGGATGTGTAGAGCTGACAATGTCCACAAGCTCATGTTTTTTAGGAGGAACTCTTTTATGTGGAGTGGTTGCCAGTTGAGTACCTCTCATCAGAGGTTATTGAGGTAGTTGTGCCTCTGTAATATGTACAATTGTCGGTTGTCGAACATCTCATAAGAGTAAGAGAATCTCATTTTGTGATTCCTCAATTCTTGATACACGATTTCAAGGGGTGCAAGAGAAGCTCCTTCATCAGCAGGATGAAGTGTAATACTAAATGGTCTGGAGGCTCGATGTCTCGTACTCCTAAGCTGCACCTTAGAATTATGAGTGTTAGAATACAAAGATCACATATTAGATTTGTTGGCCATTGATGACGTGTGGACTTCTATCAAAGAGATTTCATTTCACATAGATCACAACAAATTATTGCGTGCTAGAAAATTCAAGATAATAAAGTAATAAGTTGACCTCTGCGTTATATTAAAATCCAGCGCGCACACATATAATGAGAAAATAATAGGAGAAGACACCAAAAATTTTTACATTAAAAAAACATGGAAAGAGGGGCTTAGCCCATTCAAAATGATCTACTATGGCTATACAAATACAAAAGTAGACCCGTCCGAAGTACAATGTTTAGTACACTGTGTTTGAGATACGTCGTTGCACCATATTTAGGGATACATCGTTACTCAGTAAAGTTCTTCGTTACTCAATAGAGTACTTTGTTACTTAGCAGAGTCGGTCGACAATAGAGAGCATACAACTGACGGTGGTTGGCAACAACCAATGGTAATGGTTGGCGGCTATAGAGTTTGAAAGCTATTGCATAATCTTCGTTCTAGAATAACACTAGAATTAGGCTTTTTCGTCTTCCATCTTTTTTCCTCCTCAAGTGAAGAGAGGGGGTTCTACTTATAGACTAAAGCAGAGGGTTATTTTAGTTATTTGGTCAGTAACTCCCAAAACCACCTAATCAAACGAAAAACATTGATTCCTCTTGATCATAGGATTTTTTAAGGATTTAATGACCTTACTGACCTTAGAATCGAGTAATATTATGCTTGTTGGATTCATCTTATCAAAATGCTAGATTTAAATACAGGCACATCAAATTTAGAGTATATCTGAATTCTCAAATAGCCAACCAAAAACTAAAAGTGATTTAACGATATGATCCATGTTTGATTTGACTCAAATTGGATCAAGTTGGGTATCATTAGACTCGCAATAAGTTCACTAAAAGAGTATTGGATGATTTTTAATTTGAATCGTAATATTTCTCACTCAAGAAATGCCTTGAGATCCAGGCTAAATACCTACAGATTTACGCAAAATGATAAAATTAGCTGACCACACATCAATAGCTATATTAGCCTTAAAAAATAATATTAAATTCATTTTTATATAAAATTATAGATTTAAAATATTATATACATTATATATATATAAGAAAGCACTCTAAGTTGATAAATACAAATACCCAAATAAATTAATTTCCAAGTTTACATTGAGGCCCATTTACAAACATATCAAATATTTTTTTATGTATTTACATATATATTTGAACACTTATAATATATAAATTTATGTAAAAATATATGTATTTTACTTTAAAAAAAATAGTGTTTTTTTGTGCTTTTAATTATTTGAGTGAATTATATGGTATGCAGGTAAATACTCTTAATTATTTATTTTTTTAATCTTGATGTATAATATTTAAATTTCTAATATTATTTATTTACTAAAAATGAAATACATCATTTTCAAATATTAAGTGTAGTCAAATATATAAATACAAAGTATTTGCATTATAAAAATGCAAATATTTAATGATAATTATAAGTACGTAACAGCCCAGCTCACCGATCCTCGAGACAGTGCTCTTTAACTTCTCCCCATCATTCAATCAGAGCCGACCAAAAAAAACCAAAAGAACACACGAAGCATATCCGACCGTATAAAGAGAACTCTTCGCCTTTTTAAACCCTATCCTCATCCAGTTTCCAGAACCATGGACTCCGGCGTTACCACTACACCTCCAGCCGTCGACGGTGGCTCGACTGCCGAGCCATCCCCTCTATAGCTAACAACCACCCTTCCTACGATGATGTAAGCTTCTGAAACACATCCATGTTTCTAACCCTTCTCTTTCGTTTTGCATGGATGTTCTAAGTTTCTCGTACATCTCTTCTTCTTCTTCTCCGTTTCACATAGATGATACTAAGATCAATCGAGGCGCTGAAGGATAGCAAGGGTTCCAGCTGGCATGCAATTTCCAAATACATTACGGACAACTACTCTGATGTCCCCCCGAATCACGACGCCCTGCTGACTGACCATCTACGCGAACTCCATTCTAAAGGCGTCGTCCGTATGTCAAAGCTCTGCTACAAGGTTGAAGATGGATCAAGAAAGCGGGGTCGGCCTCCGAAATTGACTTTGCATGGTGAACCCAAGAAACGTGGCCGACCTCTGAAACTTTTATCTGATGTTGCTGCAACTAATAAAAGAAAGCGAGGACGGCCGCCAAAGGGCACGGCTCCTGTGGCTAACGGACCGGTTTACATTGTTTCTCGGGCGGAGAAGCTGAGTTCTGGTCTTTTAAGGAGTTTTCATGGGGCTGTAGCCATTGTTCTTCCCAAGAGTATTTTAAGCGAGAAGCCGGCCAGGAATCCCATCCTTATTCTTCCCAAAGGGATCGAGTCTTTCACTGAGGTTTCGACTGGTAAGAAGAAGGTGGGTAGGCCAAAAAAGGCTGACATTAAGAGAAAACGTGGTCGACCTAGAAAGAATGCTGTGTTGGTAAAGCAGGAGCTGGGGATTTACGATGATGCGAATGCGAAGTCTGCGAATCTGCGTGCGAGAAGTCCTGGACGACCTTGGAAGATCAGAGATTTATTGGTGCCTTCAACTACACAGGGGATATTGAAGAAGTCTGGAGAAACTGGGATGCATGGAAGTGCTCAAGAAACTCGGGAGACTGCAGATTTTGTGTTGAAAAAGAGATCTCCTGGGCGTCCCAGGAAAAACCCATTGTTTGAAGGTCACGATCCTCCTCCTGATGTTCTTGTTGAATAAAGGAATTAACTTCTGTATCTGGTTAGTCCTTTGAATTCATCTATTGTCTTGAATTGCCAGTTTTATGTCAGAAATATTGGTGAATATCAGTGGTTGGATGGTAAGTTGTGCGTGTATGAATTGTGTTTTTTTTTTTTTTTTTTTTCACTTTGATTTAGTTTATTGGCTGAAAGCTTGGAGATTTTCTTTATCTTAGTGAAAGTTAATTTTAAAAAAAGGAGATTTTTAGATTTGAGCCCAGGTTACATAATGACGGTTTGAGGGAGGTGTTCAAGTTTTGGCCGTAAATCCCACAAGTCAAGGTGATGTTGCAGGTTTTTGTGGGAACACCTTTTGTTCTGCAAGGTGTATGTTTTGTGATATAAGATGATGCAAATTAATTTTTTTAGTTTATTAAATTATCAGGCCATATCAAACATTAAACTTATGTTTTTCATATTTTTACTACCCCAATCATCCATATCACATAAAAATAATCCCCATTTTAACTTTTAAAAGGCAAAATACACCATATTCATGCATATATAACTAAGGTAAGGTGACATGTATGTTAAAATTGAAGATTAGGTGTTAGATATGTAAGTATTAAATACATAGGAATAGAGTGCTAGGTGTGTAAATCTTCCTAAATTATTAAATAACTTTCATATTTATGTAGAAACTTGCGAACGACTTGGAGGATGAGGGGGTTGAAGAGCTAGGACTTAGGATTGCATTGCTTTTATTGTTTCATTTTGGGCCTAGTTTTTGTTTATAGATTTATGATATTTAGTATATGAACTTTAAATATAAGTCATATGATTATTAAGTTTGGAATTTAATTTAGATTTTGTTATTTTCTTTAATATTTCCAATACTTCTTATATTCTTGAAATTTATGCATTGGGCCTCATTTTGTGATGGGTAAAGTGCTTTGTCCTGTGCCTCTCTTTTAAAACATTATTGATGGCTGTAAAACTTTATAGAAAAATTAGTATTGATTTACTTGGGGTGTGTTTTGTAGCATAGTTATGATAGGATTTAGGCATGGATTTAAGGGTAAATCCAATTAAACGGCCAAAAATGAAAATTATATCCAATGCTCTATTAAATCAAAATTTTTCATGTTCGTTCTCAGTTTCTCACATTGCATGTTCTTTATGATGTAAATCTTGATTTACTAAATCCAACTAAGTGGCTGATTTAAGGAATTTACTCTGTCGTTGCTCGTGTGTTTCATCTCTGTTGCACAAGGTTTGATAAATCTGAATTTACTAAATTTAATAAATCTTATTTAAACTTAATCAGTTTGCAGCCATACATCGCTTTAGATTGACCGATCCCTCAATTATTGATGTATGACTATAAAAGAAAATGCTTTTAGCAAGTATTTTACTTAAATTTGATTTACTGTTGCATCATTCCTTTGTACTATCTAGTGATTAAATCCTTCAGTGAAGTTTCAGATATTTATTTTCCGTGTTTCTAGTCATGATAGAATCTTTGCTTTGTTGTTTCTGTTAGCTTTATGCCTATAAGCACATACTTTATGATAATGGTACTTAGTCATTTTTGTCTTTGAGTTAGAAATAGCATTTGTTTTTTTGGTTAATGCATCAAACTAAACGTTCAATAGGAATGTTTTCATAAGGGCTGTTGGCATTAGAAAGAACTCAATCAAGGTTGATCGTAGCTGACAATCATTATCAATAGAAAGAATAGATTGGATGTCGGCTTTCTAAAATTGTAGACATTGATGTCAACAAGAGTTTAAGGAAGGTGGATCAGAGGGGTGTTGTTGACTCAAGTTCAAGTAGGCCACCATTAATTGAAGTTTGAACGTTTGATTTAAACCAAAATTTTGATTCGACTAGAAAGGTTTGATTGTGAATTGATTTTTTGACTTGATTTGAGCAAATTTTTTTGTAAGTACTTTCTATATTTGAATATAAATTTTATAGTATAGGTATTTGTGTTTGTGTGTAAATAATTATATAAATATAGATGAACAAATAGTTGAATGCATATGTATGTGTAGACAAAAACAATTAGTGTAATTATTTCTTTACATGTGCTAAGTTGCATTAAATTCAAATTAATTATTTTTTAGTGATGCTTCCTTGAGTTTGAGTAAAACATTGTTAACTTTGAATTATTTAAAAGCTGAGAATTTATCAAGCTAGTTTTAATATTATTATTTACCTTCATAGGTCACATTGAAGTAAAGGTATTTATCTTCCATAAGATGTCGGGTTTTAGCTCACAATACTCAAGTGTTACATGAGATATGTTAGATGGAGCTTATTGAATGATTATATAGCTATCGTTGTTATTTTTAGATAAGGAACAAGGCTGTCCATTTTTTTTTTAATGTTTTGATCGGGGATGTTTTTATTGTTAGGCTGAGTTTATTGTATGTCTTTCTCATTTTATCTCACTCTTAAAAAAGTGCTCTTTTTCCCTTCTAATAATTTTCTCATCCCATAAATGTTTTTTGCAGCTTTATTTTTTTTATTTTTTTCATTCATTTAAAAATTCAGAAGGTTAATAAAACTTCCCTTTGATTGAAATGTCTTGTCTTTTCTACGTAATCTTATTTTACTCTTTAGTTTGTGAATGTAACTTCCAAGAAAACATCTATAAAAATATTCATTTAATAGATTTTGCTTATGTTTTAATTAATATGTTTAGTTTCCTTATTCCTTTTATTTATTTATTTGTTATTTGCTTGTCATTTCATGTTAAAGTTGAACTATTGAATGCATAATTGAAGGGGCTATTTGGAATAACTTTTATTTCTTTAGTTTTGAATTTTTGATATAAATTGAAAACATATTTACTATGTTATATATATATATATA